ACACACACACACACACACACACACACAATACACACGAAATATGTATTTATAATTTATACAAAAGTCTTCCATCCCCTGACTATGTTGCAGAATTATTTTTGCTGATTTAATCCCAATTTAATAATAATAATAATAGGCTAGCAGGCTTAGGCCTAAACTTAGGCCAAGCCAAGGCCCTATAATCTAATTCTGGTATCGGCTCAAAGAAAAGTATTTGGTGTCGGTTAAAATATTTGTACCTGTCACGGGTATCGGTCCAACTAAGAAGAATGTGTAGGCTAGGACAAGGGCAAGGCTAGGCGAGGCTAGCCAAAGAAGAAAACTTACTACGCGATCATATATTTCGTTTCAGCCTAAAAATGAATGTAGCTTTTAATAATATCCTGCTTCAGCCAATGAAAATAAAGAATGCTCTCTGACGTCATAAAATTCGTCCAATTGCGTGCAAGTAGCGACAAGAAAGGTAACAACCGCACACGGCCTGTTCATAGAGTAAACGGTATCGATGGCAGAATAAGCAGTCTGTGAAAGTGGGGTTTTTCTCTCTAAGAACTAACGGCATTTACCATCTGCCATGGCCGACACTGAAAAGCAACCAGAGGTTGAAGAAAACCAACCTGATCAAGAGCAAAACGAAGAACAAAAGGAAAAGAAAATAATAGGTGAGGTTTGAGGAAGACTGCCACGTTTGATCGTAATTTTACCCTGACCGATCAGTCCACGTTGAAGTTGGAGCCATTGAACAGGAGTAGCCTACGTACCGAAGTCGGCGAAGTTATTCTAATTTTTGCACCCTTTTTTTTTGCAGCTTCCCAAGTCAGTGGTACAGTGAAATGGTTTAACGTCAAAAGCGGTTACGGATTTATCAACCGGTGAGTAATGATTTCGTTTACTTTTGTCTCGTGTTAAGATTTATCATTTCATTTGAGTTTGCCGGCGGCATGGGCATGGCGAACTGCTCCTGAGCGGATGACTCATGATGATCAGCGCACCCGGTTTCTTTGTTCCTTTTAGTTTGCAAAAAGCACACCAAGATGTTCGTCTTGGTCAGTGATGTTACATCCTTATATTGTCTTTTCTTACACTGTGCCTTTTGTTGTCTTGTATGAGGGAAATCATTGGTTTTCTTCATAAAACATGGGTCTACAGAACATCACCCCACGTGGGTTACCAAGGACAAAGGACCCGTTGAGGGGAAAAGAAAAAAAAAAGTCGGTCATGTCGGCGGAGGGAATTGGGTCATGTAGTGTCTGGGCCATTAGGTCATTTTTGGAATTGGAGTAGGCCTAGGCTAGAATCTAGCCTCCGATTACTCAGTTAAGAATGTCTTTATTACCCCACTGGGTGCGTTGTGGAGTTCTTTTTTGTTTCTTGGTCTTGTGCTTTCTTGGTCTTGCCTGGGTCACCCTGTCACTAGATCTAGATCTAACGTCTTACTAAAAATATAAGAAAATGAAAATAGACTCAGTCTCAGTCTAGATATCTAGATCTAGAGTCTAGATCTAGAGATTATACAGATCTAGATCTACTTCTATCCTGACTTCAACATCAATTATATTTTTTGGCATTGACTCATAGACCTTTGGTCAGTTAATATCAAGTTTGAACTGAAGTTGAAGTTTTAGGGTTCAGGCTTGGTTCGATCCTGAGTCTAGGCTCGCTGAGTCTATGTGTGGCTCCAAAGAGCCAAGCGACCTAGGGGCCTAGAGGTAGCCTCCTAGATCTAAGTCAAGAATCTAGATCTAGATTTATAAAGTATAAAAATAGGTCTTTAGATCTAATATCATACTCGGTAAATTTAAAGAAACACTCCCGTCTCAGAAAGGGAATAATTCTGTAGTTTAAGGTCTTTTTAGGGCCCTGAACACGAATTTGGCTTTGAAAAACGTCGCAAATGGTTAGTTTAGATGTTACAGCACATTATTTCAGGGGGGCGGGGAGACCCCCCTGCCCGCCCGACTACACTGCTATTACGTACTCGCTCGTCAGGGGGAGACCCCGCTACGCTAATGACTATTATATTATAGCATGCATTCATTATCGGGGGGGGGGGAGCCTAAAAGTAAGCCTTTAAAAAAAGGGAGTGTATACAGACCCGGTAACCGGGAATAAAGTCACAGAGTATACAGACCCGGTAGGGGAAACTGTTTTGTGATTTCGAAAAGTTTCAGCACCCTCTTGGCTCAGGGTAGAACTAGATCTAGATCTAGAATCTAGATCTAGGTTCTTCTAGATTATAGACCTATGGCCTAGGTCTAGATCTAGACAGACAGATATAAATCATTGATCTAGTTTCGAGGCTAGCCTAGATCTAGATCTAAAACTAAATGAAGATTGCGGATGTCTTTTCGATGAACGATCGTTTTTCCCGTTTTGGAGTTGGAGGAATCACAATTTGAAGAAAAGAACGTCATAATTTCAATCGAGCAGTCACCCTCTCTCTCTCTCTCTCTCTCTCTCTCTCTCTCTCCATCTCTCTCTCTCGCATTCTTTTTTTCTTTGTTTGTCTCTCTTTCGTTCCCTCCTGCCAACTGGCGGGCATGTCATATATATACATTTTGCTAGATCTAGCACTTCCCCCTGCTCTCTCTCTCTCTCTCTCTCTAACACACACACACACACTCACACACTACCGGGTCTGGGCGCTGAAACTTTCCGAAATCACAAGAGTTCCCCTACCGGGTCTGTATACTTCGTGACTTTGTTCCTGGTTAACGGGTCTGTATACACTTCGTAAAAAAAAAAAACTGACCGTGTACATATATATACAACGGCGCTTAAAAGTGGTGAAGGAGCTGACTTCCAGTAGTAAATGTGATGCGAAACGGAAGGGGGGACAATTCTTGTTCAAGCACAGTAGAATTGTAAATGGGCTGATTCATCAGGTCACGCTCATTACTGCCTGATCTGCAACAGGGAACTGCTGCTTTTTCTTTCCTAACCCTTACTATTGTCATTTTCCTCTACTTCTTTTGTATGTTTGTCACTCTTGTGACCTGCTATTTCCGGGGTGCCTTGATGGTCGAAGCAGACTTTGTGCTGTTGAAGCTAGAGAGGTAAGCAGAGTAAGTCTGGTTCCCTGTAAGGACTTCTCTGTTGACACCCACCCCTTGGCGCTCATATGACCGTTTGCAGTTGCGAGCGCCGTATAACCCTCTACAGGAGGGCTTCTATAAAAATACCTATACTATAGGCTATAGTTATAGATCCTACTCATAGTCGCAAAATGAGCAGTTTTCTGGTGGTGCACCATCACAATCAACTAATGAAGTCATGAGTAAATCTATGCCTATAGTAAACCCCCCAAAAAAGTTTATTAATTAATCTGAGGTCAACTCCCTCTTCAGATGTAGATCTAACTCTAAATCCAGCCACAGCCAAACTTGGTATTTTTGTTCCCACTGTCTAGCTAGCACTTCATGGGGAGCGGACAGTGATGCACTCAGACAGCTGGCTGTGTGTTGGGTCTTAATCCTACAATCTGCAGCAAACCAACTGAGGTCTCTTGACCAAATTCAGAATCAAGCTGTACGATATATGTCAGGAGCTTTGAGATCCACTCCAAATGCAGCTTGCAAAATCCATACAAACCTGGAACCTTTGGACATGCGGAGAGAGGCAGCAGTTGTGGAGATAAGTGAGCGCTACTTATAAGAGACTAGACTAAAACCACCCAAACAGAAAGATCAATCGTAACAGATGACCAAACGAATCCATGGAAGATCAATACTCGACACAGCCACCGAATTAGTAGAAAGACATCGCCTTCCATGTAACAGAAAAATGCCGAAACCCTTAAGACCAGACCCCCCCCCCCTAAAAAAAGGAGACAGTGCAAAAAGAATGTGGCCCAGGAGAACTGAAAACCACAGCTCTCAAATATATGTGTTTTAATCCATATTTACACTGATGAGTCAGCCTTCAAGGGAACTTTGGAGTAAGAATAGAACGTCCTTCAAGACGTGTGAACTATTTGATGCCTGTGATACTTCTTGTACAAATTATGAGGCTGATGTCATTGCCATTGAAGCAGCAATCCTCCACCTGACCGACATTTTCATCACCACAAAATCAAGGATACTGTAATCTACACAGACGTAAAATCAGTACTCCGAGCTTTGGAAAACATGAATTTTGAAAAACCAAGCTTTCCTCTCTGTATCTCAAACAATTAACACCTTTATGCAGACCTTAGATGCCGTCGACCTGACTTTGTAGTGGATACCTGGCCACAGCAACATCCCAGGAGACGACAGCTGACACCTTTGCCAAGAAGGGAGCATCACAAACACTTGTACAACCTCAAAACCCAGTATCATAACAGTATTAACAGACAGTCAGTCGGTGAATGGCGGGTGCTCTGGTGTGGTTTGCTCCTTCTTTCCTATTAAACAATTATCGTCTTTATGATTTATCTCTTTTCTTTCTTTTATGTTTGTTACTCTCTTGCAACACCTCTAATCTTTGACCCTTATAAATGACCTTATTGTGTTGCAAGTGCAAGTGCCGTAAAACTCTTACTAAAAAATTGAAAGTCAAGAACATCAAATGCAACACCAGGGAACAGTGGCTGAATGGATGGCATTTGGCAAAACTGGAAGAGCTGTATTTGCACACGATTGCTCCCAACTCAAAAGATGCACTAAATTCCTTCAGTAGAAGAGAACAGGCCACTATCTTTCGCCTGCGAACACAGCACATCCCACTGATTTCATTCTTAAATAGGATCTGCAAGGATACCCCACCGTTGTGTGACTGCCAGGATGAAACAGTATGAGTATCACACCATCTCTTTACCTGCACTGCACTTAGCGACCTGCGTAGCACCTACCTACCTGTCTCCCCAGATATCAGAAATACTTTATACAGCGACAAAACAAAGCTGATAAAGACCTGTACATTGTTTACAATATATCTACTGGCCGAATGGCTAGAATCCAGATGGCCGCTGGATTGGAAAAGTAAAGTATCCACTGAGTAGTGTAGCTAGGCACTGAGACAAAGACAGTTCAGTTGCTCAGTGTAAGACTGCTATTGGCATGTGGCTTTTCAAAATCAATATGGTGTATGATGCAGCCTTACACTGCTTAGTCGAGATGTTTTTGTCTTATCTTAGCTTGATAAAATACAAAGCTGTCTTCCAGTTATGTGTATCACGTTCTGGATGCAGGCAGTTATGGGAAGCTCACCCCTTTTCTTCCTTAGTACCGCAGTACTGCAAGCCGTACCTAAATCTCATCATCCAGTGCCAGATCTGCGACAGACATCGGCGATCATGGTTTTCCATTAATTCCTGTGCTCGGATGCTCTCAAAAAAGCTACGTTTCCCTGATCTTTCCCTGTTACCCATTCGTTTAGGTTCCCTAAGTATGTTGACGAGCGTCTGGTTTCACCACACTGCCTCACATATATGCTCAAGTACACAGATTTCAAGCAGTTTGGCAATACAACCCCATGCATCCTTTTGAGCTTGTTCACTTTCATCTTACAGCAGCTAAAACCAGATAAAATGAAATTGCTCTGCATAAGGGTCTAAAAGTTGGAGGACCAACAGAATAGACTGAAGACTCTAACTCTTCATGACATGAAGGTCAAGTTCACTACAAACTAGTTTCTGACCTAAAGTGTGTCCCAAAAATAGTGTGGGATTTACAGTGTACACATAAAACATTAACATGGAGACAATACAGTGGAGTCAACTTATAACGAGTCCGGAAAAAACGAGGTCTGTTATAAAGGCACTATTCTAAAACCCCGTTTTTTTTTCTCCTCTTTACCTTTGTAAACAAAATACTGCTATAGCGCTATCAGACAAACTTGTGAGTCGGTTATAGCGGAATATTGCTGCTACTGTGCACATTGCATAGGACAGAATGCAAGACCTCGCCAGTTGAGAAACTTGTTGCTGATCTTGCGAAACAAAGAATAGGATAGCATATATGTGCGTCAACAAGGAAAGCCGGAGCAACTGAGTAGGGAGGGTGTGGCATTCGTAGACAAGCAGAACGCATCGCGTGATAGGCCAGTTTAGATTATCAAGGCCTGCCAATGCCATGCCTGTCACTTCTTAGATGCAGGGATGGAGAGGTCACATCAATGTGATGGATGGAGCGAATGTGTGACGTGCGCAAGCAGACAGAATGCACCACAGGGTGGGGTGGGGGGAAAACAAAGCGGGCGAGTTAGCCCAGAGCCCTTTCTTTCTGATCGCCAACGCCGAGCTGTCAGTCCACTTCGCTAGATCTAGCGCAAGAGAAACAAACCTGATTTGATTTTTGATCAAGTAACCTAGAGGTCATGTTGAAACAAAATCATCATCAGGGGAGATAGCAAAAGGAAAAACAACACCAAACTCATAGATTAGGCCTACTTTACAGTTTCCCTAGAATTTATTACTGGATCCCTTATAGCGAGAATCCTGCTATAACGCACATTTTGCTTCGGTCCCTTCCCTCTCGTTATAACAGGATTCCACTGTATATAGGGAGGAAATCTTCAAAACAAGCCGACACTGAAATGTTGGGGCATGGTCATGTCACTGTCTCAAAATGAGTAATTTGTTGGCTAGGTTACTGTAGACATTTTTGTTAATTATCCTGTGAGTATGCTCTCGAAGGGCAGTTTTGAATATAGGGCCCAAAATAAACTTTCAATACTAGATCAAAATTTTTTAGAAAAAAAATATTTTTGTTTGGTTGGTGGCCTGCAGAAGCACCGTGCAAACTTTTGTGGGCATTTGTAATTGAGCCATAAATTCTTAAGCGGACAGACGAAAGTGAACAAGCTATACCATCACCACAGCTGCCAATCAATGACAGAGTAGGTGAACATAATTGTTTCTAGTCCAGGTGAGAGGAAAGGATGGGACTGAACATCTTTCTCGCACTACAGCTTGTCTTTGTCACTTTCGTGAAGTTGTCAGGTTACCATCCATTGTACTGTGTGGTGAGTGAATGGTGGACCAAATAATGACTGGTCGAGACCATGCACAAGTACATCCTGTACATAGTTTTTACTCCATCTGAGACAACTTGTTCTTATTTTTCAGAGATGACACTAAAGAGGATGTATTTGTCCACCAAGTAAGTTTCATTGTGCTTTGTTTGTCAGTGACAGAAGGAAAGCGTCACCATCTTAGCATATATCCATTTTCTAGTTATATGGCATTAGTAATGTAGGAAGGGATTAATTGGGATTTTTCAAAAAATATATTATTGCCCTAGTGGTGGATTAGTATTGATTTTAGTCCTGGTCTTCTTTACACAGCTGACATTGTACCTGAAAAAAAAATTGAATAAATAAAGGCAGGTTTTGGGGTAGTTTTTTTCTCAGAATAGCCTGGTAGCCTTGTGCCATGTATTTCTTTCCGCAGTGCTTTGTTGTTGCAGAACCTAAATCATAAAAAAGTGTGCAAAAATAGACATTTTTATCTTAGTGCATGTTTTTTCTTCGCCAAGCTCTGATTTTGACCTTCAGGGATGTGCATTCTTTTTACTGATGGCTTAAAAATGACATTGACAAAATGCTTTGTTGCTTTTTCAGACGGCCATTGTAAAAAACAATCCAAGAAAGTACCTTCGAAGTGTTGGAGATGGTGAAAAAGTTGAATTTGATGTCGTGGAAGGAGAAAAGGTAACTTGATTCCTTGCAATGTATTAGAAAGTAAATCATATCATTTCTCATTTATGAATGCTTAGAGGGTTGTTTAACAGAAAGTGCAGTGTAGAGCATAGACTGCTGTATGGATGTTTTGATTGTTCTTGTGAAGTCTCAAATTTAGCATCAAGCAGAAAACACTATTCTTATTCCAAACGTATCTTCTCCCATATACCTATAGTGATATTTTTTATGGCTTTTTCTGGTACACCATGGGTGTGCAAGAAGATGTGTCTTCTGGTGTTACAGTGACAAACTCTTGAAGAGAAGGAAACTGCAATATGATGACTTACTTTAGTGAGATCGTGATTTTGTACTGTGGCTAAAGCAAAGTCAAAATGTATTTCCATTTTCAGGGAAACGAAGCTGCTAATGTAACAGGGCCAGAAGGATCGAATGTCCAGGGTAGCAAGTATGCTGCTGACAGGCGTAGGTTCAGACGAGGTGGCTGGTACCCACGCTTCCGTGGCGGCGGCCGTGGAGGCAGACCCCGACAGGTAAGGACATTTATGTACGGTAAAGTGGGCAGTGGACGTCCAGGATTTCAGGGGTTGGGGCAAGTTTGCTTTTGTCTGCTTCTTTTTGTACTTGGTGCATTTAATCCCAAACAGATGAGACACGTGGCATTTATATTTTCCAGTTGAAAATGCTTGATCTAGCCTAAACTGATTTGTGATAACTTAATCCAAAGTTTTAAATGAGTGTTAAAGTAAACGTAACACGACTCTAATGTTTGGTGATCCTGAGGACTCTAGGTATATGTGGACTGTGAATTCTTCACTTAATGACTGCTGTGTCGATGTGCGTTTTTATCCAGATTTTTCCCTCTGATAGAATCAGTTTTTAAGTGTCATACTGTTACTGCCTGTGGAATTTCCATGTTTGAATTTTAGCAGTTGAATAGCCTAAAGGGTCTTCATTGGCTTGCTTCTTCTTTATGAAGACTGGTGCAAGTCAAAGAGCTGTCCTTTCGGTGTGAAGAATATGACTAAATGTAAATAATTAACAAATGCTTGAACTAAATGTCTGAAATTTTTTGTTGTCAGGACATGGACGATGGAGCCCCCGACTTCATGCCAAGTCCGAGAGGCCGGGGCAGGGGGCGACCCTACTATCAGAATCGGCGCTACTTTGGGCCACCCCGCCGCGGAGGAGGCAGGCAATACTTAGAGGTAAGAAGTCATTAAGTCATATTATATTGTGTCTAAGTACTGGTGCCTCACAACTTAGTGTTTCAAAGTACAAGTGACTCACAAATGATTCTCTGAGGGTCACTTTAACACATTACACCCTAAGGGTCTGGACAGGAAATCCATTGTTAGATCCTAAGCAAGGGGAAGGAACCCACCTCCCATGAATACAAGCCTTTAAAAAACACATTTTAAAAATACTAAACAAAGTCCAAAAATCATGAAAAAATAAAAGTTAGAAAACTGAATGTATGGGGTCGCAGAAAATTTAATGGACTGTAGTTTAGCATGCACATAGTAAACATATTTTCAAGTCCCGAATTTGTAAAAATAAAAGTATACACAGAAAACTTGAATTCGTCGGGACTGGCCTCGGGTATCTTACAAAGATAAAGAAGAAGAAAAAATTGGACCTCAGGCACAATTCAATGGATGCATGATTTCGAAAATTATGTATTCGACCTATCCGTGCTATACTGTATATTCTTTGTATTATGTATATATATAGAGAGAGAAATACATAACAAAACAGATTTCCGTGTCCATCCGGTTTTGCAATTTTTTATATGTAAAACTATGGGCTTGGTAAAGAACATTGAGAGAAGAGAATTGATCATTTTTGCCTGGTATCCCACTGTATGACTGACGTGTTTGAAACCGTTGCAGGGCGAGGGAGAGTACCAGCTTCAGCGTGACCAGGGCTTCCGTGGTGCGCGACGGCCGTTCTACCGCCGCTACTACGGACCACCTCCCAGGGGCTACTACGACGGTGGTTACTACGGTTACCAAGGAGGACCACCCAGGGGAGGACCTCGCAGGCGCGGAGGAGGGAGAGGCCGTGGGGGCTTCCGCAGAGGCAGAGGCGTAAGTTGTTTACTTGCTTCATGCTTTTTAAAAAAATGTTGGTTTTTGCACACAGTGACAAGATGAAGCTAGCTCACTTCACGTTTTTTTATTTAGGGAAAGTTATGGGAGTTTGTCGTGACATCGATGTCTGTGGTGTAGCACTTACACCCATTTTGCATAGACAGAAGGGAATTTTTATTGAATGTCGTTCTTAATTATGTCTATTGGGGTGGGGGTGGGGGGTAATTTAATTCTACCCTTGGGTATTTTGGGGGTATGGGTTGTTAAAGGAAGTTGTGCATGGATGTAAGGAAGTGAATTTGTTTATGTTGAGCTGAAATTCGTTTTGAGTGATTTCCTGATGATTAAAAGGGTTAACTAAATGTTCTAATGGACTCCTCAACCCTTGACCCATGTCCGGCTCCTACACACTCTCAGATTGGGGTCTCAGGTCTGCAAAGTGATGGAAACTTGTGTATCAGATTACTCAGTTACGTTTAGTAGGCTACAATATTATGAAAACTTACTGTTATGGTTATTCATGACATATATGCTAGCTCAGAGGGAGGGGGGGGCTCTCATGGTCGAGAGGTTACTGTGTTTGCCTTTTGTACAATGGGTCACTTGTCCGAATCTGGATAGCCACGGAAAATTTACTTCTCTAAAATGATCTCCTTTCACCTCCTTTCCTTCTCTCTTGCAATGTTCTGTTGTCTGCTTTCGTCTCCACTTTCTACCCCCACCTGCACGCTTCCTTTGCCCCCCTCCTCTGGGTTTCTGACTCTTTCTGCAGCCTTTCTACTGCTACTCCTCGGTTCTTTCTTACTGCTGTCTTCCTGCCACACCCCTAATCTTATGTTAGGTAAGATGGAACACCAGCCCTTCTCGGACTAGAGCAAAAAATCTCCCGAGGTGCCGAGTGCAATTGCGCAAGTTAAAGATTCCTTGGTGGTCCAAAATGGATAAGAATAGGCTTTGGCTGCCACCAGGGTGTGTGTTCCGCTCTCTCTTATGACCATATATGCAGTTACTAGCGCTGTAAGAAACAACTCAGAGGAAGGTGCTGGTTTTTTTTTTTATTGAGTTGAAGTTTTGGTATGTACATGAATGATTTTGCTCCAGCATTCAGAAGATGCTTAGCCTGCTAAGACCTTCTTGCACCAATGTGATCTATCAAGCATTAATGGACAGCTGTCTCCCCATAATCCTGACTCTGGAATTAAGGGATAGCAATGTATCATAGTTTATGCATTTGTTTGAAGGAATGAAACATGATTTTTATGTTCCATTTGGATGATCAAGGTATAGAATGTAGTATTTTGTCAAGTAGTCTTTTATTTGTCTGATGTTTAGAGGGCACCAGTGGTAGGTTCTACTTTTTGTTCCCTGTATTTTTGTCTTTCCTTGCTTTGTGGGTGGTTGGTGGGGGATGTGATGTTTGTTCCTTCTTTCCTATGGAATTTCTATTGCTCTTATTTCTTCTTCTTTTCTTTATATGTTTTTTTCTAGTAATACCGTATTATCTTCGGCACTTCTATAAACTTTTTGTGCTATAAAATCTTTTTTTTAAAGCCTATACTCATACAGTTTTTCTGAATGCTGTTTGCGATTAGTCATGTGACTGTTGATTTCTTTTCAGCAAAACCGAGACAAAGATGACGGTGCTGCTCCCAAGGCTGATGCCAGCAACGACACTGTGAAATCTGAGCCCTCATCTACCAGCGTAGAGAGTAAAGAGGACTAAACAAAAGTGTGACTTGCTCAAATGCAACGACCTAGACTGACTACCTAATGTTTGTATGTGTGTGTATGTGTGCAATGAGACTACCCAGTGACTCGATGGAAACAACCTGACTTGAACTTAACACCCCTTCCCCCGAGTGGTTGGTTTTGGTGATCATCAGGGAACACCGGGATGGTTCTCATCTTGCTCTATCTTTGCACTTAGTAAGTAAATCTTCGTCTTTTTTTGAAACAAGCAAAAAACCCCTCCCTAAGACAAGAACACGTGACAGCCTAACAACTGACTTGACAGCTACAACAGATATTCTCAAGAGCACTAGCAGTTAAAGGAAGAAAAACAAAACACAAAAGAGAGAAATAAAGTTATTTAAGTAACTACAGATTGTGATATTTAACTTATTTATCACTTTCTCGAAAGAACTGAAAGAGATGGGAAGTAGCACATAGCAAGAAATCAAAAGAAATTATCTTCTTCTTCTTCTTTTCTTTTTTTTTTAATCACTCTCACTTTCAAACTCATCTCATTGACATTTATTTTTCTATAAAATGCGACTTTGAAATCAAGACTCAATTTTAGATCAAATCAAACAAGTTACAACTATGCAATTTATATCTTGAAATATTTATATTTAGCTATTTGTACTGTTAGGGTTTCTTGAAAGGTTCCAATGTTTGAAGACAGACTCACGTTACATTTTTTGGCATAAATGTACTAGACAAAGTTATGTTTTTTATTAGTGTTGAGCATTGTTTTCTTAAGCCAAATGCATGTGCTTATTAAAGTTTTGATAGGTCTTCAACTCCTGCTCGTTGTTCCTTTTTTTTCGTTTTCAATTGTGGGCTATTCAGGTTCCCCTACTTTAAGTCACTTGAAACATGACCGCTTGTCAGATACGCAAGCAGGATGGATGTTTCTTGAATTTCTGAAAAATATTATTTTCACTTGACTGGTTTCAAGACTAGATTTCAGTGGTGATTTGCATGTTTGTATGATGGTTTTGTGTGGCAATTGGTAGCTCACATACATCGGTTGTTTTCATCAAGTGTTGTTTCAATTCCCCCCCCCCCCCAAAAAAAAAGACGTAATTGCCAGCTCTGCCATGGACAGGCATGTTTGAATCATGGGAAAGCGATCACATTCTGTGAAGTGTTCAAACCACCTTTCTCCAACTGTGTGAGCATTTCTATGATCAGGCCAGTGGGTATTTTTTAAAAGAAAATGTAGGTGTTTTCAATGCCCCACATCAACACAATTTAGATAACTTTGGAGTAAGCTGCCAACCCTGCTTGTAGGGCCAATCTGTGCTGAGAGGGGTACTATATCCTGGCAGATAACTGAGATACTCGATAACAATTCTCCCCTCTCAGGAATCGTACTCTTGGTTTCTTATGTGTGGCAGCAAGGTTCCTATAATAATCGATATGCCAGTGGTTACCATTTGAAATAGTGATGGACAGGACTGCACCAAGCGGTGGCCAGTGCTTCTCGCCGACCTGACCCCTGGATAAAAGGCTTCTGGTTTGTGCCGTGGCTTGTACAACTTATGGGTGATCTTTCTGTCCTACCAAACTGTACATCTTTATGTCTTCCTTATCTCTCCCACTTCTTTCTTTCCTGTTAAACATCTACCTGTATCTTCCTTATCTTTCCACCTTCTTTCCTGTCAG